ATCATTCCAACAACTACGACTTAAAGTGCCGTGGAAACAACCGAGCACGATCACGAAATGGGGGAAAACCAACACCAACGAAAAAACCGTGGACCAACAACAGGAGACGATAACTGGACAGCGATCCACCCAACAGCTGCCAAATGCTGAGGGGACCAGCAATGTTCAACAAAACGTCGAAAAAACTGCTAGCTCTTGTGATGTAAGTACCTTCAAAACTCCAGCGATTCCGTCGCAGTCCCAAACCCCATTGAATCAACCACAGGCTGCTTCACCTTCCCTCCTATCCCTTTCCATGGAGATTTCCGAAAGCGAAAGTAACGACTCTGCCAGCGAAAACAATCCGTATCGAACAGTGAAGCGAGGAAGAGGCCGTCCGAAAAAAAACAACAGATCAATTCTCCTCTTTCACAGAAAAACCCAACCACTAATTCGAAGATCTGATTCTCCCCGTAACCTAAATGTGCCCTCCACTAACAAGCTACAATATAGGTAGTATTAACACCAACGCTATATCCAATACAAACAAAATCCAATCGTTGTATTCGTTTATTCGCCTGACTGACCTAGACATTGTTCTCCTCCAAGAAGTAGAAAACTCTAATTTGTGCATCCCAGGCTTCAATGTCATTACTAATGTGGACATTTCCAGAAGAGGGACTGCCATTGCATTGAAAGCACACATTCCTTACTCAAACGTGTCAGGCAGCCTCGATAGTCGAATTTTAACAGTAAAAGTAGGCAGTTCTGTAACATATGTAATATATATGCCCCTTCTGGTGTACAAAACTACTCTACACGTGAATCTTTGTTCAAAAACTCTCTTCCCTTTTACCTACAGAACTCATCTTCTTTGATCACAAAGCTTTCAAAACAAGTTGTTGCTTGCCTGATTTGGGAAAACCGCGTGGAAACGGTTATTGGTCTATTCGTGCACATGTACTCACAGGCGAGGTCTTGGAGGAGTTTTCAGGCAAATGGAATCGATGGTTGCGCGAAAGAAGGAACTATGACAGCTGGATGACATGGTGGATTGACTTTGCAAAGCCCGCCTTTTCGGCTTTTTTCACTGGAAAACTAACGAAAAATTTCGTGAGTTTCATGCAACAAACGAGCAACTTTATTGTCAATTGAAAGTTGCTTATGACAATTGTTTTCAAAATCTAAACGAAAGAATCAAAGTAAACCAGGTGAAAGCAAAAATGTTGCAGTCTGCAAAGTCAACTTTCAAAGGCGTTTGAGCGGTTAAATGACAAGTTTATTGCTGGCGAAAAAGTTTCAACTGTTCAACTTAGTGACAGAATCCAAAAAAAAAAGAAAAGCACCATTAGCTTTATTCGACATCAAGACCAATTGCTGACCCATTCATCTGATGTGGGGAATCATGTTATTGAATATTTCAAGAACCTCTACTCCGCAGTGATCGTACAGCCTTCTGCGGATTTCCCATGCAATCGGACAATTCCTGCTGACTCGGAATCGAACAACCATTTGATGGATGAAATTACAACATCCGATATATTCTTTGCCATCAAGTCAAGCGCATCGAAGAAATCACCTGGAAGTGAGGAGTTTTACCTCAAGGCATTCGAGATCATACACCCTCAATTTAACTTGATTTTGAATGAAGCATTACAATGCACGAAAAATTCGTGCAAGGAGTCGTGGTTCTTTGTAAGAAAAAAAAACTACCGAGGAGTCAATCAAAGCGTATCGCCCATTTTCTCTATTAAACTTCGATTACAAAATTCTTGCAAGGATCTTGAAACATAGACTAAGTAAAGTAATGGAGGATAACATCTTGTTTACTCCAAACCAAAAGTGCTCAAATTCAAAAAGGAATATATTCGAAGCGGTACATTCCATCACGAATAGTTGAACTCAATTGCAAAAAGAAATCAGGCAAGCTTATATCCTTTGATCTAGACCATGCTTTTGATCGTGTTGATCACGGTTTTCTCTTGGTTGTGATGCAGAGCATGTGTTTAAATAACTCATTTATTTCACTTCTCGGGAAGATTATGTCCACCTCGTGTTCACGGGTACTTATTAACGAAAATCTCTCTCCTGAATTCCCTATCCTTCGGTCCGTACGCCAAGGTGACCCCCTTAGTATGCACCTTTTTGTACTATACCTACATCCCTTCCTGGAAAAACTATCTTCTATCTGCACTAGCCCTATGGAGCTAGTAGTCGCCTATGCGGACGACATTTTGATTATCATCGTCGATGATAACAAATTGGATCGTGTCAAACAAGCTTTTTTGGATTTCGGAGCCTGCCTGGCCGGTCAGCAAGGAATCAGTTAAGGTTCTTGGTGTTACCTACTTTAACTCGTTAAAGAAAACTATCGATTTCAACTGGGGAGAAGCCATTGGAAAAACATCGCATCTTATGTGGTTGTTTAAATCAAGAAACCTGACTCTGCACCAGAAGGTAATTGTTTTACACACGTTTATTACGTCACGTTTGTGGTATTTGGCTTCAGTTCTTAGTATGCCTAACTCTGCAATTGCAATAATAACATCGCAAATAGGATACTTCTTATGGAGTCGTTTCCCTACAAGAGTTCCAATGGAGCAACTTACATTGTCTCTAAATTGTGGTGGCTTAAATCTTCATCTGCCCATGCACAAAAGCAAATCACTACTGGTGAACAGATTCTGCTGTAGTCTTGAGCACACACCGTTCGCACGAGATCTTTCAGTGCACGTAGCAAATCCACCAAACATTGCGGCCATTCCTATGCTATATCCCTGTTTAAAATATATAGGGAAATGGTGCCCTATATATCAGAGCAGATCATAAGAAACCCATCATCTGATGGACTACACAATTTCTTCCGCGACAAGATGAAGCGCCCTAAAATTGTTGAAGGAACCCAAGCATCATATGGAGCAAAGTATGGAATAATATCAACAGCTAACATCTTACATCGGCTGAAAGATCAACATTCTTCCTGTTGGTCAACCGGAAAATACCTCATGCAGACTTACTGCACCGCACTAACCGACAAGACAGTCCTATGTGCCAGTTCTGTCCAATCGTTCCTGAGGATTTAGAACATAAATTTTCCAGTTGTGTTCGTGTTCGAGATTTATGGATCTTTCTTCGTCTGAAATGGGAGTCAATCTTAGATAAAAGAGTATGGTTAAGGGACTTCTTGATTACTGAATTAATTAATGTTCAAAGAAGTTGTAGGAGTGTCGGTAGCATTGGTGCTCAGCACGGAAAACAAGATCGACGGAAAAAACAAACCAAAGGAAAAAAAAAAACATAAAACTTTACCGACCATACCAGCCTGTTTTGACGCTTCGTTTTAAAGATATTCTACCAAATCCATCTTTCAAACATAATAATTCTGTAATCGTACAAAATCGCATCCTAGCATTTTCAGGGCTAATAGCATTTCATAATTTTTAAACTTTTGATCCCTGAACAATTTTGTGAATTACAGTCAACTCTCCCTTATTGGATCTCTTTCTAACTAAATATTCTCCATTACTCGATGGAAATCTAGGCTAATTTGATCACGCTACACATAAAAATTATTTAACTATGGATATGATATGGAGTTACAACTGTCGGTAAACTGTAGACTATCCTCGTTGTTCGATTTGATCAAGTTTAATAATCGCTAATTATTCTCAACCTGCCATTGTATGAAGGGCCAAAAATGGGCTGGGTGAATCCGTGGGCAACTTCACCCACTTGCTTCCACGGGATAAATGAGAATCTCCTTCCATAAACAGTATCATACAACCGGTAAAACATGCCATCCAACATGAGGATGCCCCAATGAGTGGGGAGAAGAGCTCGCCCTCTTTTCACGAAATGTTACAGATAGGAAGGTGGAATTTTCCCTCTCCCTATCCATTTCGCTTCAATTGGGTGCCCTGGGGGCTAGCATTCAATGTTTAATATAATAATGGACTGAAAGATAAGAGAGAAAAAAGAAAAGATTTCACCCGATATGTTGCAGAGGAGAGCTCCCATAGATTTGCTGCCGCTACAGATTATCCTGAAACTTAGCATTTGAGGCTAAAATCTATCTGTTAATGTGGGAAGAAGATAAATGGTAATACTTTATAAAAAAAAATCAATTATGACCGACTTCGTCCCACTGTGTATTGATGAGCTCTTAACAAATTATCAATAAATTTTTTTGACATTTTCGAACTGCCGACTACTTCTAAGTGAGAAATATATTGGAGATGTCAATTTATGCTAGTAGTTTTGGTAGCAAATGCTATATATAAATAATCATAATTATACCACAGACAAACAGACATAACACATTGAATATTTTTCAATATAAAACATTGTCATTAACCGAGGGGGGCGACACATCTAAATCTCACTTCTAGATACTCGAAAAATCTCGCACTAGCGAATGAATCTTCGAACAATCTTCTATCATTTTTCGCATCTACTTGCATCGCGCATCAATTTTTTGCAGGAAATCTTCAAAATCGTCATCAATCTGCTTTCTATCTACTCTAACCACAGCAAAACAAAATTTCCCTACATCGTAGGTAGAGTCGCCCCCCTCGTCATTAACACACTACCGCCATCTGTGATGGGTAGTACACTGAACAGATAGCGGTAGTGTGTAAACGGCAAACGCAAGGGTTATTGACTATGCGCACCACAGGTGGTGGTACTACCAACTAAAAACTTTTAAATTGACCGTTAAATGAGTGTTCGATGAACAAATTGTTAGTGTTACGTCTGTTTGTCTGTGATTATACGGTATGATTATTTTTAAGAAGAAGAGTTAGAAGCGATTTAAATCTTAATCACGAAGATCGTACTCGGTACTTATTTGTTTCGATCAAGTATACGTTAGCAATGATGACAAAACACTAATTGCCTGTGATAGAATATTTTACGGTACACGGATTGTTGATTTGTACATCTAAATCAAATTGTATCTTTTGATCGATTATATCCGCACCAAAAAATCATTCACGAAAACAAGATTAAAAAATCGCACTTACTTGATTTGCAGGGATCCATGTCGATATCGTTGGATATTTTGGTAAGAAACGTAGTCGCCAGCAGCTCATCTATCGAGTACTTCTGATGATGATGGTGATGATGGTGATGTTGTTGATGTTTCTGCGTAATTAACGTTTGATTCAGTTCCAAAGCATGGCAGAAGGGCCCGTTGATTAGAAAAAGCAGCGACAAAAGACCGAGGACGACCGGCATTGGCGTACGGGTGACGGTCCAAGGATTAGTGAAAAGTCTTCTGCCGCCTCGCTGCTGGGATGACAGCCTCCGGGCAGTCAAGGACAACAACGTGCCGTTCGACGACATTGCGAGGGATTTTGTTTCAATCAACTTTTTTTTTTGTTTTGGTCTCTGCTCCGAAGATCCCTTTTTACTCCTGCATCTGGTTTTAATTTTCGCTGATGATTGCTTCTCTTCTTCGACGGCTGCAGAGCAGATTGCTTTCTCTGTTTCTTGGTAGGGTGACGTTGATTAAAATTTTCTCACGTTCATATCAAATTTGCCGACCTTTCTAAACTATTCACTATCAGTTCCGCTGTCGATCCCTGGGCTAGAAACATTCGATTGCACCTTGAGTAGGTATGCATGCACTCAACTACAGTAGTGGATTATTTCTTCTTCATTGCTACAAGTGTATCACGTTGACGGGATTTATAGCTGCACATTATTCATAAAACCACTCGATTTAGTAATTTCATCGCTTTCCCTAGCATTCACTGATTTTGGTGTTTGCACTGAACGATCTACATTCGCTTTAACAGCACTCGGTCAAATTTCCAATCACTGGAATATGGGGGAAAGTAAATTTGAAACGATAAAACACACTCTGATGGACGCACACTTGGGAACACTTTACGGCTACGGTCTTCGGTGGCACACTCCATGGACTGATCTGTGTGCGTTTCCGATGGATGCTGGCCGCAGTATTCAATTTTGGCCCATTGAAATGTGCTAACAGATGCTTTCTGTGCTCTTTTCGACAAATAGTTAGAACTGCAGCGTGCTGAGAAAACGTATGGCTAAGGACAGGATCACCTATGCTCCGATATAAAAACTTTTCCTCTTACGAGAATCAAAAATCAATGAAACATCAATCTTAGACAGGTAAATAACTAATGACTGATGATGTAGTGAACATGTGATAGCAATTTCTATGTGCATTCTCTAATCCGCATACAAACACCACTTGGAACATATGTGGCCAAGTTTTTAGCAGAAACCATGATAGGTACGTTTGAAACAACTTCATTCTAGCTAAATGAACGCGTATATTTTGAAGCAAACAAATTAATTCCGATCTGGTCGCTTCATCCGCAAGCAATAGAGAACCGAGTAACAACTTTCGTTTCCATCAATCAATAAAACTTCATCAGCTGAAATGATGCCCAGGCAGAGTAGATGGTGGTGGATATACTGCTCAACGGGTCCCGGGTCGATGTAATACAGCAGCACCCAGCGTACGGAGTTTAAAAACTAGACATTAAACGGTTTCAATGAAGGGAACAGATAGACGGATGGAGCGGTGCTTGTTTTCGACTAATAAATGTGCCAGGCAGCTTTGAAATTTTCGAACATCCATGCATGGGATTAAAGCGAAACGAGCCAAACGAAAACACATGGGTCCCTTTTGTGAATGATGTTGATGCTCGATTCCAACGTATATCATTGTTATGATTCTAGTTTGTTGGCGTGAATGGGCTTATTGAAAAGGGGTTAATTTTAAAAGTTTCTTCGTTTTTATTCATGGAAGGCTCATTTTGGATATATGTACATAAGGCCTGTTCACCATTTTGATCAATTCTTACAATGGACTACCACGCATTTATATTGGGGCTTAAAATTTAGTCAACGGGCCGGATTTAAACCAATTTGAATGATATTAAGAGGTGGAACAAACAGCATTTTTTGATTTAAGATGTAATTTGTAACTCGATCATTAAACAGCAAAACATTAAAAGGACCCCTACTAAGGGTATCTCTTAATATTCTCTGAATAGATATTTTTGTGCAGAGCGTTAGTGTCTAAAGGCTCCCACTAAATGATTATTTTTCCTATGATTATAATGTGATATTTTATAATTAATGAATATGATGAATGCATATCAATTATTTCTGTGATTAATAAATAAAACTATATTTATAATCATTAAGCATTTTCGAAAAAATTTAAATTTAATTTTTCTACGACGCTATATTTTCAGCCAGTGCTGTAAATTCTCAAAATCAATTAAAATTGAATGATTAAAAAGAGAAAAGCAGCTATCCGCTATCAAAGAGGACCTCCTTCAAATGGGCGATATCAGTTGCTTAGTCGTTTGACGAAGGCATGGATCATTCTCATTTGAGAAACGCTTGATATCATTCAATTGAGTGTAACCTAAACAGTTCGAAAAAGTAGTGTAAATTTCTGTTCAATATGATGCACATAAATGGAGCGTCACATATCATATAAGTTTACATTATAAATCATGTAGGCATCTGAGGCATTTCATGCAACGTAGCAAATATTGCATACGAAAGCCCATTGTTGTAAACAACATTGTTTACAAATTGCTCGGTTGCATGAAATGAAATACAAGTTTACGTGAATGAATGTTTACATCACAATTAAAATTCAGAATTTTTATCTGTGTACACATAACGGAGGTCTGGTCGACATTCCGGCTAAAAAGCTAAGGCAACCCGACACCAACCAGACTTATATCAAACCCCAACCAGATGTTGACCCGACATTGACCTTACATAAACCAAACACGACATAGGGTTGATATCAACATTAAAATTGGCTTACATTGATCCGACAGCGGGTCGACTTGTCTGTTCGGGACCATTTTGCTAGGTTTCTTCCATACTCCACTGTCGTATATTAAATGATAGTGAGTGACTCAATTTACAGTGACGATGAGCTTCGTATGAGAAAGGGGCTCTTCAAATTATGGTCATGTGAGAAATCGTTTTCACAGATTTGATTGGTTAGTTGGTTCATCTTCAATCGAATGATATGAATATTAACAGCACTGCTTTCGTTCAGACGTAACTTATGTTCCTTAAAAATATCATCACGGAACTCACTAACGACATCTCGCGAGCTATTCACGGAATGAAAAGCTTGCTTGCTAAGTCTCAAACAATGTTGCATACAAGTTGGATAGAACGTATAGAAATGTAAAAGTTATCCGATACCACCTGTGGTGAGGGATTCGCGAAACTAATAATACATAAATGAACCATTTAGTCTAGGCTTTTTTGCACACAGATGCCGCTGTTCCATTGATAGTAACTAATAAAAATCCCCATATAGAAATTTGAAAAAGTGGAAATAATACGCCTTTGGTGCATATTAAGGTCAAAACTACCAGTCCCTAGAGAGCAAACAATTCAAATTTGAAAGAGAAAATTCTGTCTTACGATCTCAATCGCTTAACATGCCATGCATTTTGATCACCGTCGAACCGACGGGAAAGCTCATACAAGCTACTTTCAAATTCGTGCCCAAGACGCCATATTTAAAATACGTTAAACACTACCGACATCTACTCATCCGATCGCATGGTATGAGCAAGGACACGATCCCACGTATACTTTATATTGCCTTGGTTTGCGTCTAACCTCGTTTGATTGATCTGATCGCCTGTTTGAAAGTTCGAATCGCTTGTTTGACAATTCGAATTGTTTACAAACGAAGTGCTCCTGTGGCATGCCGGTTCGTCGGTGTTGTAATTTCTCTCTCACAGACTACAAAATAGAGTACCTGCCACTGCAAAACATCGAATGTTAATCTGTAGTCATCTATAGAGGTACCAGACACCTCACTATTCTCTGTGGACAATAAACAAAAAATATATTATGCGAAATGTCCGGCAGATGTCACCACAAACAAGAGCAATGTAAAATTAATGCAGAAGCTTGAATAAATGGTTAATTTAATGTTAAATGTGCGAAGGGTTACCCCTTTGGTCTTCCGGATGAAGAGGTCTCTCCTGGCGAACCATTCGTGGTCCCATACCATCCTGAGGGTTGACTTGATCCAAATTTTCAGGTCCTGTCTGCCACTTCGTCCAATGGCTGCGAGGTGGTCTGCTTCTATGTTTCCGGCAATTCTGCAGTGTCCCGGTATCCACATGAAAGTTGTGCCAGGGAGAGTGTGGTTTTGTATGGCTTGAATCCAGGGGTGGCGGGCGGTGGCGTATTCCAGTACTGCGAGTCTCCAGAAGTGTGAGGTCTGTCCATCAGTTACTCCAAAGCGTACCCTGCCTCCTGCCTTGGAGCCGTCGGTGAAACGGAGTTCGTAGTTGTGGTACCGTGTTTGTAGTAATTTGGTGAGGCAGTCTTCAACGCTTCATTTCTATAACGCTTAGCTAGACTATCAGCAAGAAACGAAAATGAAAAAGAAGCACACGTAGCAGGAAATGCTGGCTGTGAATCTTCTCGTCGTTGCTTTGCTCATCGCTTCTAGTTAAACGAAACCTCATTATGGCTTTCAATCCATTTCATGAACGCTCTATCACCGCTCTTTAAATTTGTTTAAAATGCGTAATGTCCCGTTTTCATTAGTTTGTTTTAGATAAATCTGTGGATGAAAGATAAATTAAACGTATTACGTGTAATCTTCCAGTGTTTTCACGTGAGCAATGCTTTATATTTATATATTTTTTCATTTTCCGTCATATACGTTATGAAACCACCGACGAACCGACGTGATAGCTCATACAAGTTACTTTCAAATTCGTGTCCAAGACGCCATATTTAAAATACGTTAAACACAACACTAAACACTACTCATCCGATCGCGTCATACCATGAGCAAGGTCACGAACCCACGTATAATTTATATTGCCTTGGTTTGCGTCTCACCTCGTTTGACAGATCTGATCGCCTGTTTGAAAGTTCGAATCGCTCGTTTGACAATTCAAATTGTGTACAAACGAAATGCTCCTGTGGCATGTCGGTTCGTCTGCGATGGCGTTGGTGTGTTTCATGAAAGACGAAACTATCAAAGTCGAGCGCTCTTTCACTCATCCGTTTTACCGAAGCTTGAAAGAAAGACCAATGGAGCGACGGGAGAAAGAGAGAAAAGCGATTGAACATTTGTTTTTACACGTCAACTGAGGTGTTGCGAAGCTGTTCGACTTTAACAGAAAAAGAAAGCCAGCAATCGCTTCGTCACCTGGGGGGGGGGGGGGTGACGTGCTGTCAAATCAGCCTACTGATCATCTTGTATGAAACTGGTTCCAAACGTAAACAAACGCTGTAGGTTTCTTATGGCTTGTTTACGTTTGGAACCACTTCCACGTACGATTGTTCGTATTTGACAGCCACCTCCCCCCCTTGTTCGTCACATCGATTTGGTCAATTGAAGCTGATATTGTGACGCCCTGGTTCTAAGGCTGTTCCATTTGGTGAATTTGCACTTACACGGCAAGAAAAAAGTACCCAACGGCCAGTTCTCTTTTACCTACTTTTGACTAGTTTGTCTCCTTTTCTCCTTCTACTGTTGTCAAAAATGGAGGAGCAAAACCACCCAACAGGGATAGTAAAGTGTGGGAACCCAACGTTGAGTATAGTCATATTCACCTACTTTTGGGTACAACTAACTTATTTTTGCGTTGAAAGCTAGTGGAAAATTCCATACGAATTGCACACAAGTAAATGAAAACTACTTTGACCCGCTTTACCTACTTTTGGGTTCCTGCACTATAGTGCCGAGAAGAGTGAAAAGAACTTACTTTTGGGGTACTTTTTTCTTACCGTGTACATTCGACAGATGAAAAATTTTCAAATAA